CCACCCCCTAGTCACACACACACACACACACACAGACAGTTACAGATAGAATATTGGACTCCTGCAGATGCACACACATGCTCACACTTCTTCTTAAAGACTGAGATTTGCACTGAGCTGCACTTTAGAATGGGACTATATTCTTCTTCTGCTAATATGCTGTTGACCTGATTAGGTCCTACACATCTTTATTTTTATCAGTTCATATTCTTATATTGACTGTACAATTCTTGTGTTATTTATGTAAATAATGTGTCTTTTAAGCTGAGAGCTGCTGGAAGAAATTTTGTTGTGCTCTGCATAATGACAATAAAGATTCTTGACTTGACTAATATGCAGTGCTTTTGCACTGATTGAATTCTAGTGTTTAACCGGAATATTGCTTCAAGAAAAGCTCATGTGTCTTGGCTCATTGGTCTAAGGGTATGATTCTCACTTTGGGTGTGAGAAGTCCCAGGTTCAAATCCTGGATGCGCCCTTTTTAAGAACACAATTTTATTGCCCGCTGAATGCACAGTGAGGCTTATACAAGCCCTATGACAAAATGCTTCTATGCTAGATGTGCGTCAACTAATGCAACATTGTTTTTTTAGAGCCTGAGTACCAGTAACAAGAAATCCTTCAGAGGTCTAAAGGCTACTGTCTACAGGCAAGCCCCCACCCCTTCCACCTTGTCCTGTTTATACAGGATTTGGGGTGAAATTGTCTCAGCAAACATGTTACCTCTGGTTGCGACACTTTGGAGGGTCAACTTCTACCTCTCATTCCAGGACAGTACCATTTACAGAGAACAACAAGGTGGAAAACCCGCGGTGGTCTAAAGACTATTGTTCTGAACCTGCCCTTAATTTACTATGGAGATCGATTTAACCTCTGGGAGCTCAGTGGCCAGAGCACAATGGCTTTCTATAAATGAGGACTGAACAGACTGCAAGTTTTCCTCTTCTCATTTTTCCTGTCTATGTGTGATTGGAGGCCACAGATGAACATGTTGTTAATAATGTGTTTCCTTGAGTCCTCTCTATTCTCATGTTTTCCTCCTATTTTTCACTTGCGTTTTATGTGGGTGGAACAAAGACAATGAAATGATGCATTTGAAGTAAATAATGTTTCTGAGGGATGTACCCATGGTTTTAACTGCATAGGCAGTTGTGATGGCCGAGAGGTTAAGGCGTTGGATTCGAAATCCAATGGGGGTTCCCCACGCAGGTTCGAATCCTGCTCACAACGATGTGTTTAACCACCGAGTTATCACAGGTCTTCTAGTTTTCTCCAGGCTTAGTTGATGGTCAGGTCATGGATTCTGTGGGGTTGTAAATTTCAGCATCTTCCCAGAAGTCCAGCTCGACATATACAAACAGCCCAACTGTGCTGTGCTCCAGTTAACTGAACTACTCCAGTTGACAAGTGTCCTTGAGCAAGACCCTGAACCCCAAATTGCTATCAACAGTGTGAGAGAGGGTATGTGAAGCACATAATGCTATATAAGACAACTTGTTGGAGCACAAGATCCAACAAACCTGCTATCTACTTTTAAATATTTTAGTTAAATTAAATTGATATAATGTAAATGCACATAATGTATAAATACGTGTAATTATTTATTCATTTAGTGTTAAAGATTCTTTTTATTTGGCCATTGGGCAGCCTTGGTGCAGTGCTCCTCTCTGAGCAGCTAGGTTTCTATATTTCTTCCCACCTCCACCCTTATGCACACACACACAGCACAGGACATGTCTGTTTCCATAGCTGTCCCAAAAGATATCAGTTCATCTCCTATCCCATAACCCAAGGCTCATTAGAAATTCCCGGGAAAATTAATACTCCTTGTAGCTTCCTGTGCAGAGAGCCATATGGACACGAGCGCTGATCAGCCTGATGTATATTCAAGCGTGTTTTCCAGGAGCTGATTTATGGTCCTTTGGATCAAAACTAATTGTCTGCTTTGCTGTCCAGAGAGCAGGAGGAAGACCGTTTGCGTTAATTCAATTCAGTCTCATCTATGTAACTAGATGGTTTAGTGGTTTTCTTTAGATGGTATGTGTGAAGAGATACAAATGTATATTCAACATTCAAATGTTAACAAAACTGTACTTAGAGTAATTAAAAGGATTTACACTAACTTAAAGATGTTCCCTTTACAAGAAGAAACCTATATTACCTGAAAGCTTGGTTTCACTCTTGTATTTCAGTCATGAATAAAAACAATGTTTGACTTTACTTTGACAGCAGAGAGAATCAGGCCTTCATGTGAAACAGCCATACTGTATATTAGAGACAGGACTTGATTTTTAGTTTCCTGTTTTTTTCCTGTTTATTTTAGTAAGAGGTTTGTTTTCTGATATGCTCCTGTTTTAATTTCTTGCTAACACAAAGTCATTACTTTAATTTACATTAGATCAGATTAGATCTTTATTGTCATTGTCAGAGAGCAATAAACATTTGTATGGTAGCTCTTCAAGAGTTGGCTGCATAAATTCAGTAAATAAAGCACCATTTTCTACTTCCTCCATGTTCACCTGATATTGTCTTACTTGATGATAAGTAAATGATAAACTTGACATGTTTTATGCCGGATGCCCTTCCGCATAGATGCTATACCTATGGAATAATGTTTATAAATGAATGCATTCATAAATGTATAAGATGTTTTGGTAAATGTTAAAGATAAAGTCAGACAACATTCCCCATAAGAGAGTGAAGTAAACAAGATCTTTCATTTATCCCTCTGTGTAATAACAATGACATTAGAGGGTGAGATCAGAGATGGAACTAGAAACTGGTCGAGGTTAAAAGTGAGACTAACTGAAGGAGTGTGTAAGGGATTAAAAAGGTTAATGAGTGCTGTAGGTGACTGTGAGAGTGACAAATGGATAGATCATGGCAATGAAATTAGAGGGAGCACAGAGCAACTTCACTTTCATCCAGCCAGTCATCTATTCAGCTTGACATCGATGACAAAGTATAACTACAAAAATTAAATAATGACATATGTGTGTTAAAGTGAATTTGAAATAAAATTCTGAACAACATAATAGTAAGGACTTTAAAAATCCACTGGTGCATCTCCAATCCCATCAAAATGTGACAAAGATCTCCTGTACTGTAAATTACTTTATGTCCAAAAACGAACATTTGCAAAATACTTATTCTTTAAAAATATCAGAATCAGAAATTACTAAACCTTGTGCAATTGGTGTGTAAATTATTGCAAAAAAATTGTTTTGGTCAGTTTAACAGTTAAATATGGTCAGAAACCAAAGACCTGATCTGCACTGAGAAATAACAACAGAACAAAAGAATGTCCACAGGGAGGGGAGTGATAAGACAAAGTGACATACTCTATATGTTTCTTGAAAATTGTCAGATAATATATGAAGAGAGAACCTTTATCAGCAGAACCAAAAACAAACAAACATCAAGTGAAGTGCCATTCAAGAACCAAAGCATATCCTTGCAGGATGAAGTGCACTATCATGTGACGTGACAGAAATAGCTGTGCTATTGTGAGGATCTGTGTTCACTACTGCACATACCTGGCCAGTCACTGAGTTAAGCGGGTGTGCTTGAGCTGTGCTGTTTCAGTTTTTTCCCGTCCCAATGTCCACAAAAAAAAGAGGCATGTTCCTTCTGAGTTAATGCTGGCTCAGGGCTTTCCCACTGTGAAATCATCAAGGGCAGGAACGCTCTCCCACCTTCATTTTGAACCCTGGAAGCGTAAAGGTAAACAAAGGCCATAAAACAGAGATACAGTGAGAAAAAGAGTAGCTGAACCGATTCTCATATTAACTGATGTTCTGTTTTTGTGTGCTGCTTTAGACAAAAGCAGCTGCTAAATACTGTTAAACATAAACATCCTATAATACACACCTATTTCATTTGTCAACTATTTTCTTTTTTGTTTAATGATGCCGTTTCAACAAAAACATATTAAATTGGTTAGGTAATCAATGATTGCCCCTCATCCACTCTGTAAGGCAAGAGCCTGGATCATGTTCAAATCAGCCAGTCGGTCTTGGCCATGAGGAAAGTGAAAAACATAAAATAACAAGTCCTAAACCCACAACAGTTTGAAACATAGTGTTGTTCTGGCATTCTCATGGCGATGTTATATCCTAAGTCACAAAGTGCTGCCCCATTCCTATTTATATAATGTCTAACCCTTGCAGACTTGCACTCAATGACTTACAAGTGACATCACGAAAGTCTTTGAGGGTTCAGAGTTTGGGACCTTAGGGAGGACATTGGATTGGGCCTTTCTGTTAATTCCTTGTAGTCTCACATGTTTTTCTGTCATCTCAATATGTTTTAAAGTCTAATCATAAACCCTTGGGATAAGCATGGATGTTTAAATTAAGCTGCACTGCTCTAAATCCACACCATCCAGTGCCAATCTAAATCTCAACTTTGGTTCAACTTTACTGTATATGCCCTTGTGCCATATCTATAGTAAAACTGGCGTTGTAGTCAGTGTGAACACCTTTACAAAACACGTCTAAAAACAGTAAAATGTTGTCATCAAACTTAACTGCAAGTCTTCTTGCTATGTCTAGATGAATACTTAAAATGACAAATGGTGAATTGTCTGCTAACAACAGTGTGTGGAGGCAGGGTTGCAAAAAAACCTTTAGAAGTGCTAAAAAATAAAAAAGTGGATGGGTTTTAATCACAGAATAATGGCATGTGGGAGGGTGGGAGACAGAGAGGCAAAGTCAGTGTGCTGAACAAGTGCTATCTCATGCAAATATTCTCAGTTCTCATTAATGTGTATTGGAGCTTGACAAGCATTTGCCTGATGTGCTCCAGCAAATTCTGTAGACAGCCATCTGTATGTTTGTGTTCATGATTATGACAATAGCAATTTAGAATCAAGTGAGAGTAAAGAATGAAGCCACATAAATATGTGAGAGGATGAGAGGCAGGGAGATGAAGACAGACACCCAGAGCGTCTTTCATCTTTAAGGCTCTGCAGTGATATGATGTACTGTTGAAGAGTTCCTGACTGCATCAATATACCTGACATGCAGTTTCTTTAGAAGTTTTCAGACACACATCCACTCACCCTCTTTCATCATTGCCTTTCATCTACATTTATTAATCTGAGGCTCCTCCCAGATTAAAGAAATTTGCATTGAATGTGCAGCAGGATTCAGGGATGTTAGTATTAGCCCATGAAACTGTTTTGTCTTTCAGTACTTTCAGACTTAATACAGAGTTGTCAGATAAGCAGATTCTGATGGAACCAAATGCAAGACATTCACAACTGCAAAAAGGTTTAAAAGATTTATTCTGGGAATAAATGTAGGAGCAGAGCTGCTACAGGGGCTGGGAGTGGTGATGATGACTGATGTTCAGGTAGGTGTCTAGTAATACCTCTAATCCACCAGGGGTTGACAAATGCTGCATTGGCCCAATTTCAAAAACCTGCACAGCTCCATATCAGACCAGGCCATTACCCAGAGTTATTTCTAAATTATA